GCAGAGGCAGAAGAACAACGTGTGGCCGGACGGTTGTTGAACGACATTAAAATTGCCAAAGCGAAGCGTGATTTCGAATTGCAAAACGCGAGCTATCAGAAAGAGGTACAGGCGAGGAAAGCCGAGTCCGAGATGGCTTATGAACTGCAAGTAAGGCTTCTACCACCCATCATCCCTTGGTTTTTGCGATTTCTGTTTAACCGTGACAACGTATGCTAACAGTCGATAAATTTTAACGCTCACATTACCGGAGGGCTCGTATGGTCGCTTTTCTAAAAAAAACACCTGTTTAATGATCGTGATTGTTAATAACCCAAAGCCCTGCAAGAAAGCAATTAGATCATGAACTAGTGATGAATTGGGAATGACAGATGGTAATCCATTTAATTAAGGTATCGGTTTATGTTTGATATCCCTACTGGGGCTTAAATCCAGACATCCAGATATGGTTTCCTATGATGGGAGCTCAAAGTCTATTTTTGAATCAAAACTCTGCCTGACTCAAGTAGGCTCACGCATTCGATGCCGCCAATTCGAATTGGTGCCAGTTTCGTGAAAATGATGGTCTGGGACATGGAGTGAAGTGAAATGAAAGCATATATCGGCAGGTAGATTAATGAAAATTGCAACGTATTCGGCGAATATACTGACACGAGAAGAAGGGACTCAAAGAGTAAGAAAAGCGAGCCCTCCAAACGGTATCCTTACATAAATACGAACGGTTTAAGTCCCTTCATTAACCTACCTCATGATCAGGTCCGAGGCTCGGACAGTGTCTCATTCATCCCTAGTTTGGTGGTGGTCAACTGGTTTGACCTGCGGTACCACTCATCTCATTAGCGTCTTAAATAACTCACCACTTCTAACTTTGGGATTTGGATCGTTATTTATTACTTTTTTTGCGGATGCCTGATAATAATAGGGGAATAATAGTTTTGTTTTCCTTTTCGTAATGAAATGTACAGTCTATTCTGGTGAAGTAGATTGCGGCCAATGAAAGGCTGCCTGGATGAAAAAACAGAGATTAGGACAATACCCTGCGCTGAAGGGTCGTTTTAATGACCTCTTCTGGATAGTGCCAGAGTATCCGTGTTTGGTATGCGTTTTGCTATGTGGAAAATGTTGCTACAGGACTGGGTTGATCCGTCACCCAGCCTCGCCCTAACTGGAAAAGAAAGACCAAATGTACAAGATTTGTTATTTAGGCTGCTATACCTCATCCGATGGACGCATCATGGATGAAGTGTCAGCTCGCACACAGAAAGCTCGGTTGGCATTTGCTAACATAAGACATTATTGGCACCGCTGTGACATCTGGCTATCCGTGAAGGATCCAGTGTGAGCTGCGGCAGTTCGGTCGGTTCTGCTATACGGTGCAGATGTTTGACCATTAAGAAAACAGGATACAGATTGTCGATGTTTGAACACCGCTGTCTACATAGCATTGCACGAATCCGGTGAGGTAACCGGACAAGCAATGCTGAGGTTAGGCGCAGAGTTTCAGATAACCGCGGTCGTCCACTGGAACAAATGATCGATCTCCGTAGATAACGTTGGTTGGGACATATCACTAAATAGATTGCCACGGTTCGCGATGTTTACCGAGGCACGTAGTGGATGGGGAATGAAGCCAAGGCCCGGCAGAAGGTTATGAAAACCCTAACCGGGAAACTCAGTCATATGGGTCGCGTTGGGCTCCCTGTTTGGGTGCCTCGAGATCATGGCAACCGGCGGTTAGATACTGAGTGATAGCTGGGTGTCGTAAACAGTGGCATCCAGGCATCTTCTCAATTTGCAACCTTTGCAACCTTAGTCCACTGAAATTCTCCATTTTCTCGTCGACTCTGCTTTCAACTTTCCTATCTTTCTCTTACTGCTTCATCTAAATGGGCGGCTAATAGATAGCAACCAAATTCGACGCACTGAAGGGCATGGTTAATGGTTGTACAAACTGAAAAACTGAACTTAAATAATGAGCTGTACTGCTTGACAATCTACGTTATGCACCACCCACGCGGTTACTCAGTCCCACGACAGTCCCTACTGGACACTTTGTTCCTTGCTCACTCGTCGTTTTGTGTCACTTTTCATATAGGCGGCAAAAACGCGCCAGCGAATCAAGGAAGAAGAAATGCAGATTCTTGTCGTCGAACGTACGCAACAAATCCAAGTGGAGGAGTTGGAAAATGAGCGTCAACAGCGTCATTTGGATGCCACTGTCCGGAAACCAGCCGAGGCCGAACGGTTCCGTTTGGAACGTCTCGCAGAAGCCGACCGTCTTCGACTGATCGCCGAATCAGAGGCTGAGGCAGAACGCATCCGGCTTCGTGGTCTGGCCGAGGCGGAAGCCCTGAACGCGGTAGCCAAAGCAGAGGCAGAACAGATGATGAAAAAGGCCGAAGCCTGGCAGGCGTACAAAGTGAGATAAGTTGTTTTATTCATCTAAGGTTTTTGCGTTTTTGGGGTATTCTGTCCTCGTATAGTAACAATGCTATCACACTTTGTTTAGGCGAGACAATATATCATCTGGTATTGCTGAGGATGGATCCACATTCGATCACATTCAGGTGGGAATTGTGCCTTTACGGAATTGTGTCCATTCCGTGACAAATGTTCTGTTGTTCGAGAAGCGTGTTTTTACATACAATTATCATGTAGTTCAAATTTCACACCCTCGATACCTAATCATCAAGTCGGTGACCATTAACACCCCCAGGAAACTGTGAATGAGTGTGATTAATATACCACTTTTGGTTGGTTTGGAATCAGGGTTTTTAGCCAACTCCCCTCGGTAAACTGTCAGTGGTTCATCGACCTGATTATAGCCTCGGATATTGGCTTTTCGTCCTCTCACTTTAGTGGAAAAACATCTCCACCACGAGAAGACAGTGAGTACGGATTCTTCATCATAAGCTTTTTGAGATACTTGGTCGTACAGGAGCATTTCACGAAATGAGGGAGGAGTGACCTATAAACCGTAAACCCATACACCCACCCGCGCGACCATACTGGAGGCCACGAACTGACCATAGATTACAGTAGAGTCCGGCTTTAAAGGATGACGGGAATCTTTAAGAACATTCAGGGCGAAGTTTTCACTTGCGGATACATGAAGATTACACAGTTTTGTGATTATAGTGTTTATGGGAATAAGATAAACACGGCTAGTTATTGTCAAGCCACGGCGAAGAATATGTGAGCCAGAGAAAATCACGAGGGAACAGTTAAGTACGGTAGGACAAAATACACGGATAAACAAAGTAAAGTAAAGCTAAATGCTTCACTTTGAATTGTCCTGACCTGCGCGTCTGGAAGGACAAGCGACGCAGTTTGTCAACACAGGTTTGTATACGATAGGATGGTGATTCCTGGGTATTTGATGGTGTGTTTTCTGGTAATGTGTACTGAGGCAGTTATTGAGGGTTCCAGAGGACAGCCAGATCGGGAAAGACTAAACTCGCAATCGGAACCTTTAGAAGCATTCAGCTGGACACCGGATTACTCAGTTTGTTAGTTTCTAACCTTTCAGAAAATAATTCCAACTTGGATTAGTTTAAGATCGTCAGTATATTTTAAGGGTCTTGGCTGGCGGGATAGACGACAAGTCACTAATAAATGTTGAAAACAAATATGAAGAAAGCAGCGCACTCAGAATTATTCACTCGCGGTTTTGGAATAGTGCTTTCATTCTTTGAATCTGTCCTTCAACTATTGTAATAGTGTTGGAAAAACGGAGTGATTGTACTTTTCGAAGAAGAGGTCGTGGATAGTAGTTATTCTAATGAATAAATACAACAACAAGGCTGTTCAACTTAATAGTTTTGTTTGTTTGTTTGTTAGCTGCTTCTCATGTCAGCACAACAATCCTATCCCCTGCGACAACCGAGTTTCATTTTCAATCCCCCGGGACTTACTTTGCACTTACTTTTCGCATCCCTTCTGGTGATCAGCTGAAAGTGTGTGTGAGAGAGGGAGATATTCACGTATATAAACGGAGTAATGCAACAGAGCCGAAAATGATGGCAATCATGATATCTTCATCCAAAAAAGCAAACTATTTTGGGAGTAACGGCACAGATAAAAACTGACAATGTAAATGCAGTGTATAATATGACCACTGATTTAATCGCTGAAATTTGGAGGTCTGATTTCGCAGTCGGGGACAGTGAACTGGTTCACAACATGAAAAGTTATTGTTCTCCACATTCCTCGGAACACAGACTTACCCAATCCCAAAGAACAGCTGACTGTTTCCGAACTACTTTCTACCTTGTTGTGGAAAAGTGGAATAATTATCAATAAAGTTGGTTTGGTTCAGATCAATCACGAAAAAGAAAATAATCAGATGATTAGTTTTCCTTCGATACGTCGTCTCATGAAGAATAAAAATGATACGATGAATCAGTTCGGTGTGCACAATGTATGCTCATGTTCACAAGCGAGAAAGATAGTGCTGCCGAACGTATTGATATCGAAGCGATGAGATAATGGAAGCATTACACAGGAAACCATGGAAACCATGAGAGACACACTGAGCAAAGAGAATGGGGGAAAACCAACGGAGAAAAAAAGTTACGGACCAAATGTGGGACTAGGTAGGTAAGGGACGACTCCGTTGGTTCACACAAGAACATTTTTCCAGAAGCCGGTTATTCGAAGCTTCCTGAAAGAAAAAAATATAAACTAGTTAACGTGCTCAATGAATTCTCTCGCTCTCTCACGCTCACACACGCACACACAAAACTGGGAATGCATCGGTCAGACTTGTTGACAAATCACACGATCGATAGTCCAATTACAACCGCTGATTATGTAACATGGAAGCCAACAGGGACCAATCGGCTTGCTCAAATGGCTTATGTCCCTATGTCTTTCCCAGTCTGTCATACTACACATTTACGGATGTTATCAATTAGAATAAAAAAAAAGTGTGTTCTGGGCAAACAACACAGCGAACACGCTGCTTATTTTCGTAACTTCGTCTTCATGCATTTACGGTTGTATTATTGTATAGTATTATAGATGACTTGTGTAGGCAACTATGCCTACATTTCAGCCAAAAATATGTTCACCGGTACAATGGGATTCAAAATTCGTATATAACAATGATAAAACTAAATGGTATTCATCTTTGTAGATTTAAGATTAGTTCGTTACGGATCCTCACCTTGTCAGTGAGAATAGGGAACCGTTGAGTTGCGATAAATGCTTATGCGGGGCGGGGCAAGCAGCAAAAATTGGATCGGATTGAAGCGCGTGGGAAC